GTTTTTTTTTTTTTTTTTTTTTTTTTTTTTTTTTTTTTTTTTTTTTTTTTTTGCTTAAGGGAAAGTTAAATACTGTTTGTTTACTTTTAATGTAGGTGTTGACTTTTCCTAATATTGCACTTTTGGGATGGTGAGGGGAAGACCAGACTATTCACCAGCTGCAGGAAAGGAAGGAGTAATGGGGAAAGCTGTCTGCTGGTGACTAACTGCTTGAGAAAATTCTCTTCTGTGAGTAATGGGCTTCATTAGAAGAACCCAAACATGATGAATTGGTGCATCACCACTGCATTTTGTCTTATCTAAGTCACATAATTGTGCTTCCAGTGTGCTGTAGTTGGCTGCATGAAGAGGGGCTTAGTTCAAGAAAGCCTTAAACCCATATCTCCAGGATAGAAACGAACAGTGACTCCAAAAAATGTAAAGAAACAGAAATCAGAAATAACACTTGCATACATTAGTTCTCCTGGTCATTGTAATTCCATAATGTGGGATGCTCCAGCTAATCACATCCTGATGTTGAAACACTTTCTCAGAGATTGCAAAGAAAAAAACACTCTTAAAACAACAGACGCTCCAGAAGAGTCTAATTAATTACAGGTCAAATTCCTCTGGAATTTGCAGTGCAATTTAAGCTTCTAAATCCTTTAGATGGTTCAGAAAGTTCTGCCTTTAATCTACAAGCTATAGATTAAAGCGCTTGCATTCATTGTGTCAGACTGCTGTAGGTTGTTCCCAGGAAAGAAAAAAATCCTGAAGTCTACCTCTAACAAAATCACCTCAAGAACTTCTCTGGGTCCATCTTCACTTGTTTGCTGCACATTCTTCACTTCCATGATGGCTTGGGGTCGTGTTGCTCCCTAGCTGAGTCTCTCTGGTTTGCTTTCATTTCTGAGTTGTTTATTTTTTTAGGTGCCATCACATCCATCCTGTAAATCACCTACTGACCTCCACATGTCTGTCTTTCACCTCACAAGCTTTCTGGGAAGCTGAAGACAAGGCTGTAAGATTTTTTTTAAAATCTTAGTTGTCCAGAATGAAGAGAGCTCGCTCTTTTTCTTTTTCTTTTTTTTAACCCCTGCATTGCTGTTGTAAATGGGTAATAAGATTTATTGAATTTTTTTTTTTTAAAACTTGTCCTAGGGCGTGGTGGGTTCTTTCTCCACTCCCCCATTTTTGCTGCTGCTATTACCAGCAATGTTGCCTTTCATGCTGTACTCACAGGCCTGGCCTGAGGGGGGGTCAGTAATGTGTGTTTAAAGTGTTTTAGCATTATGGATATAGGGTCAGTGCTTATTCTCACCTCTTTTGCTGCGAACTCCTCCTGAGCAAAGGAAAAGTGCGATCAGCTGACTTCTAGAGGTTCAGAAACAAGTGCTAAATTCCAGAAGCAATCTAATCCTTTTTCTAAAGGACTTTTAGAAAAGGAATTGTAAAGAATTATTTTGCTTTTTTTAAAATAAAGAACTCTGCAGATCAGCGCTCAAGGCAATAAGGTTACTACATGAACATTCCCTTCCCTTGTTTGTATTCTAAAATAAGGATCTTTATTTGCTGAGTAGAAGGGATTTCTTTAGAGGTTGTTAATTTTAACTGGTGTTTTCAGCAAATGTACAAAGTCATGGCAGTTTTATCCCAGCAAGTCTATTAAGCTACATGGGGATTTTAAAATGTGAACTGCTCAAAAAAAGCATCTGTAAATTTGAGGAAGGAGAAGATTTGCCTCATGAGCTGTAGTAGAGCTCACACTCTGCATCCAGCAGGATAAAGTCAATCTTTGAAATCTGGAGTAGTGTGGAAGACTTCTTGCTGAAAGATCAGAACCGTGTTTGTGTACAGTGTCCCCTTGCAAACAGAGAATCTGTCTGTCAGCTCCCCAAAAGGAAGAGGTGGACAAGTGCAGTGACCCTGGCTCAGGGCTGTAAAAGAGATCACGCATGTACCTCTTTGCATGTAACCCTACCTCTTGGTTCCTCCATGGGGTTCAGACTTGCAGCTATGTCTTAGTTGTGATAGCAGCATAATGTCTGGCACCCAGCACAAAAACTATTGGCAGGAATTGCCTCTTCTTGACTTCAAAATGCAGAACTTATGATTTAACTTGAAAACGTTGAACTTTTGAGATTAATCACATCTGCATGCGCAAGCTCTCCAGCCAAATGCTTGTTTAATAAGCTCTGTCCCTCCAGTTGGATAATGCGTGATCCCATCTCTCACCAATCATACATTCTGTTCCAAAAAAACCCTGTGCCTGTGGTCCAGCCTGTAGGCCCCTGGAGGGCAACGTCATTATGCTGGAAGAGTCAGGAAGTGCTCTGTGGTCTGGTTTTCCCCACACTCAGGGGGAAGGGGGGGGGGTGGCTAGAGCTGTCCCTCTTTGGCACATTGGCTCAACATCAGCCACGAATGAAGTGTCTTGGCCTCGGCAGATCTATTCCAAAGACTGCAGGTGGTGGCTCAGTGATACCCAAGTTAATTTCCAGTCTCCTGCTAGATGTTTCGTACTGTGAATACCACGTTTCCAATCGTGTAGTCTTGGAGTGCGTTTTTAAGCTGTTCTGCTATAGCAAGGAATCTTTCCGGCACCCTACCTACAAAGTGAACACTGTCTTAAAACAGCTATGGGTCATTCCCTTTTACCTTTGGCCATTTTTGGGTGCCACGTGGGTTAATCTCAGTACACATACACCTGGTTTGTATTGATTGGACTAAAGCACTCAGCAACTTTCATTCAGAACAGCATCCCCTTTGCACGGGCTGATCTTTGGACAGTTGCAATTCATGTGCTGTACTTACCATCTTTATTATTGTATTCTAGGTATTTTTCTTAATTTTTATTTTTTCCATTTGTGCCCTAAAGAATTTTGCGGTATTTCAAATGAGATCAAGCTGTTGGTGTTGCAGTTCTGGGTGTGAAAGATGCACTGTCTTTTTTGTCGTGGTAACTTGTGACCTTGGTTTGGAAGAACAGAAAAGAGAACTTCTGCTTTCAGCTGTATTCTGTGGGGATGAGAAAATTCCCAGTATCAGGCATGGGCTGTCCCTCCCACCAGCACACCCAGATACATCCTTGCAAGCATCCAGTCCATAAATTACTTGTTTTCTCTTTCATTGGGGTTTGTCACTTTGTAAAAGGAGTCCTGCTGCAGTACTCACTTAGTGCATTTGCATTTTAGTAAGATGGGTAAATTTCCTAGAATGGGAGAAAACAAAGTGGGATTGGAGCGGACCTCGGGCATCAACAGGGATGCTGTGCTTTGGAATCAGAGCAGGACTGGATAGACAGTAAGCCTGAAGAGCATTTCTGCCATTCCGATTGCTCTTTGGCCCGTGCACACAATGCCCAAGTGGTCTGTTCAGTCCTGCAGAGAAGAACATTTGCAAACAAACTCGCAGCATCCCGCAGAGTCCGAGGGTTTAGGTTCAGGAGGTTAAGTTCTGTTTACCAAGAGAAGTTCACCACCCAGCACAGAGTGTACGCACTCCCTACCCTTTTGTGCACTCTGCTTAAGCCTCACAGAAGGTTTTGTGCTTCAGGAAGGGTTTTTTAGCTCCAGTAAGACACCCTAACCTCTCAGGGTTGGAAAGAAAAGGGGGGGAGTGGGGTGATTTGTTGCAGTTAAATTATGTCATTGTATCATCTGAATTTGTAGCCACAGCTCCTGTTTGAGGGCAGCTTGATTTAATAAGCAATTTACTGTGCTGTGTTTACTGAAATTGCTATGTCATGCCTGCAGTTTTTATGACGGCTCCTATTACATTTGTAACATTTAAATTGCATCTGTGGTTATGAGTAGAATACTGGGATTTTCCTTTCTTTTCTTTTAACTCAGATAGCTCTGGCCCTGTACAGTAATGATGCTGCTGTGTCCAGATCTGATTTAGATAATTACAGTATATTCTTCCTTGCACCTTTTTATCATTATCAGCACAGAGTGTACATGACACTGGGGCCGCTCTCGTTAATGAGCAAACCAAAGTTAAAACACTGCAGATTAGCAGGGGGCACCTGCTTCTGTGTGAAATGCAGTCAGAATTTACATTTGTGTTTCTCTGATTTACCAGAGACCAGAAAGAAAAAGCTCATAGTAAACTTGAAAAATTAATATCACCATGTCCTATGGTACCTGTCCAAGTGGAAAGCACTGCCATGTGATGTTTTGGGCCAGAACTGCGCAAAGGAGGGTAAAGAATTGCTCCTTGTGAAGGTGGTATCAGACTTGCATAAATAGTATTTGGGTAATGTGACAGTGGTGCCAGCTGTCTGACTGCAGACAGCCACAGAGTGCAACGCTACTTCAGTGACTTTGTTGGCGGTGAAACCCCAACTCCGACTAAATGCACTTTATTTTTCAGGGGCCTCCAGCTTTTCTAAACATGTTGTGGCCCA